GTTGGGGTTCTAAGAATAAATCAGGAGTTTGTGTTTGCAGAAACCAGCTAATCCCCAAACCGACAGAAACATTCGGTGTTCTCAGTTTTCAAGGCCAAACTCCTTCGGGAGGGACGGAAGGGCCCCTGGCTGCTCCAGGCTGATGCTTAGCCCCCGGTGTATGCACAGTTGGCCACCAGAATTCACACGCACTTGTGTTACCAACTTTTCAAAGTCTTAACCGTTTGGGCTAAATCTAGATAATATTCTCGTGTCACAAATTGTGTACAGTGGAAATTTTTAAGTTGAGGTTGTAGTAATGATTGTACCTTATCAGAAATCAGAATAGTTTCTGAGGGCTGTGAATTCTTCTGAGTTAATTCCCTCAAATGTGCGTTGTGGTGAATCAAATCCTGCGGCTTCCACAGAGCGCTCCCGCCCCCTGCTGGCCTGTCTGGGAACGACAGCCTCCTGCTCAAGAGGCTTTGATTTCCTTTTAATGTTCATCCCAGAGAATTCACAGCCGTATCACCCACCTGCAGTATTTATCCTTACAACCTCAGATAGTAAATCTGAGCTAGACAGGAACCCCACAGAATTATGCCATCAACGATATTTGGAATGTAAAAACCAAGAGCTTTAGATGATCCTAAATTATTTAAGCACATTTTTTTAAATGAGGTTTAAAATTGTTGCTTGTGGTAAACAGGTGACATTTGGACAAGCTATGCTAGCCATTAAAAGCCAAAGCATTTGAGTCACAAAGGAGAACTGCAACAGGTAGGATAGAAAAGAACTCGAATGCATACAGTTTGTTTTGGAGGTAGCAGGCGTCCTGGACTAACAGCTCTTGTTGTCCGTCCCTGAAAAGTAAAGCAGTGTCTCAAGTGAGGGCTCTGCTCAGAACGTCACCTTTCAGTGCTGCGTCACTTTGAGAATTTATCATTTTGGGCATTGGCAGCAGGTGTTTGAGGTTTCCACCAGCTGTGAAATTGAGAAACCCCAATTTCTCAGCGTGAAATAATTAGAAATTTCACAATGAAGATTTATTTCATTTCTGCACTGTGGCTCCAGAGTGTAGTTTTTCTTTTTAAATGTTTTCCTTCCACATTAAATATACCCACCAGTTTGGTGGAAAACATTTTTAAAACAATTGAAGGAGAATGACCTCCAGGACCCTGGAGAGAAGGGAAATTGAACTCTGGTGTTTTAAGAAGGCCGGGCTGCCTAAAGCCCCTTGGCTGGTGACTCCTCCGTGCCCTGATCGGAGTGGGGGTGCTTTGCTGGAGCAGGGCTACTCTGGGGGGCCCGGCCCTACGGGTTCATGCCATTCTCACCACCATCTGTAGCGCTGGTGGTTGCAGCTGAAACAGCAGTAGCCCAGCTGTGCTGCTGTTGTTCAGGTGGGTTTCAGTGAATGCAACAGAATCTGCCACTTCATGGGTCAGCTGTGGCCCGTCCTGGGGAAGGGGCCAGTGCACCGTGTCATTCTGGTGGAAGGGGTTCTCAGAGACAGCACCTTAACAAAGCTGATCGAGACTGCCAGCCCGGTTGTCACCCAGGAGCCAGGATGGGGAATTGTTTATTTATTTTCAAGACAGGGTCTGGCTCTGTCACCCAGGCTAGAGTGCACTGGTAGCATCACAGCTCACTGCAACCTCAAACTTC